TATAATCTATTGTATGCTTGACGCATTTAAACGTATGTAGACAATAACATGAGCGCGCACTGCATTGCGGTTGATTGGGATTCTTTAACTAAGTACCTCACAGGTACTATCAATCTATAATCTATTGTATGCTTGACGCATTTAAACGTATGTAGACAATAACATGAGCGCGCACTGCATTGCGGTTGATTGGGATTCTTTAACTAAGTACCTCACAGGTACTATCAATCTATAATCTATTGTATGCTTGACGCATTTAAACGTATGTAAACAATAATACGAGCGCGCGATGCATTGTGGTTGATTGGGATTCTTTAATGGTCTAACACGACACTTGTTCTATAGGTGCAGAATTAACTTACATTCTACCCAGTGAATCAACTGGTAAGTTCGAGCAGTTGTTCAACGAACTGGAATCTCGTCGAGAAGAGTTAGGAATCAACAGTTTTGGTGTTTCTGTGACCACTATGGAAGAAGTATTCCTGAAAGTCGGAGAAGAAATGGACGATTCGTTATCGAAGGCTCTKCAACAGAATGACTCGGACAGCAACAGCAGAGGTTTGTTTGTGTTATGAGGCGGGGTTTGTTTACATATGACGTTGTCCTTGCGATGACAAGTTTCGACAGTAAGACACAATCGTGTACGTTGAACGCGACCTACACAAAACCTTCTCTCAGATACTCCATTTTGCAGTTTCCGTCGCCATCTTGAAAGGTAGCCAAGCCTTCGCATCAAGCGAGACAGCATATGAGCTTGCAATGATAGATACTGTGAATAATTGTCTTAGATGTGAACAAAAGGTATCTATCATATTGCAGGCCCAACTCCTATCCCGCTTTGATGCAAAAGCTTAGCTACCTTTCAAAATGGTGCTTGGAATTAAAGTAAAATGGTTTGGTAATGTGGCCTAAGACTTTCATAGAATCTTAATACTGTCTGTTGAGTGCGTAGCACGATACTCGGAGTTACAGCAAAATCTTGCCTCTTTGATATCATATATATAACTAGCTCTACACTTTATGTGTATTGAGCACTCTTTAATGGGATCAGCCACTTCCTCATACGATTAGAATCTTGATTATACATAGATTTGAGAAACAATTCAAGCAAATCATTATCTTTTTCCGATTAGGTTTTCCAASTAAAAGACTAATGAAACTCTGAAATTCGTTTTGAAACACCATGCTTCCGACATCTCGAGAACTAGCCACATTAGCAAGCATCTCTACCTCGCGAGATTCCTATATTGAGGCAAAAAAGCATTAAACAACCTCGTTTCCCAGGGCTTCTCTGCTCGCTTTTTTTTCAGTATGGCGGAGGAATGCGAACGCTATTAGGAAGACAGGAATACCATGAATAGAACTGCGAAAGTTCTCACTTGCTTTACCGTGGTGCTATGTCACGTGTTTTAATGTTTCAGATATCGAGGATGACTACAGAATCGATGTCGACGATACGAATAAACTAGGAGTGTTCAGTGGAGCTTCGTTGTCTTGCCAAACATCGACTCACCGAAACTGTAACATTCAACTTGCTTGGCAACGTTGGTACGCTATGTTTGTCAAACGTCTATTGCACTCAAGACGTCACAAGCTGTCAATCATATCACAACTCGTGCTGCCATTGGCGTTCACTCTTATCGCGTTGATTCAAGCCAAGACTTTTCCTCAGCCTGGAGACTCTCCGGCACTTTCCTTAAACGCGACTTCATTTGGACAGAACTATGTACCGTACACGGTTATATCTCCCAATAGGTTGGTAATAAACGATTTCCGGGATGCGCGGGCGCTATCAAGAATATCGCAGGCGCGCGCATGAAGACGAGGTATTTTCGGTCAGAGTTCTGACGGGAAGCTCGCTTATATTGTCCTGAAATACCTCGTTTTCAAGCGCGCGGAAGAAATAGCATATAAATGAATTATTGCAAAGTGGCATTTTAATAAAAGTCCTAGAAGTGTATTAACTTAATATCCTGTCATTTCCAGCACCAAAAAGCTTACAAGTGCTTTTATAAATCAATTTACCGGGACTAATACGGCACCAGTACGCGTGAAGGGAAACATGTCCAATTATCTTATCAACCACGCTACAGAAGTAGGCCTTGGCGCCTTTAATCTTCATTACTTGGTGGCCGCTTCACTGGAACAAGTTAAGCAATCAGGTAAATTAATCATTGTTAGTATCATCATCATCTTCACTATCTCCATCGTCATCACTGTCATCATCGTTACTAATAACCCCGGTCCGTAAGAGAAGTGTTTGAACGAAGAACATTGGGCGATCCCACATTTTCAGTGAAAGACGGAATGGCTCAAAATTCTTCTAATATAACACATTTGCGGGTGCTCATTAAAAAGCAAAGCATCAAACAAGTCAGCCAAACGTTAGATGTTGCATCGTCAAATAATATTTGGTGGTTGTGTAAAAAGATAACTTTAACACCGTAAAAAAAGTATGTGAAACAACTTACTGACTTTTCGGACGTTAATCCTTCGCGTCGGAATCTTTTTACACAACTGTTTCTTTAGAAACACCGACGCAGCTCACACTAGTTTCCTGCTAGTTCCCACCAATATTTGATGGTGTTCAATGATCCAACATTTCTAGTTAATGTCCAAGACACTATCCGTTGAAGGAGCGGTTATATTATCTGGCAGTTGCTATATAGTTTTTTGAGGAAATGCACAATGTAGCAGCAATATTTGCATGTTGCGCATAGCGTTGTGCGAAGTAGAAGTCAGATCTACTTTTCTAATGCCTTGCAGCCTCTTGYAACGCCTTAGCATATAGTGTATAATTACCKTTCCCGCAACGTTCTTTGACCGACTTTGAGGCACGCACTACCCTAGCAGCATGTAAACAGCCCTTGTTATTATGCAATTATCTAGGAACTTGTGTCACAAYGCAATTGCGARTCAAATTTCCAAGGAAATTGCGGCGTACCAACGCCTTGATAACCTAGCATCGTTTAAGCATYGTKTCGACTCCCTCTTCGACCATTATCGAMCATTGAAAGACTCCATGAGGTGGAAAGAACCATAACTAGGTGTTTTGATAACGGAAAATTGCGTCCGGGGGTGGGATGCATTAGTGTGACTTAACCTTGTCATCATTTGTTTCAGTGAGAGTTGTCGCATGGTTCAAYAACCAAGCCTTCCATGCTGTAGCAATCACCTTGGCAACAGCACAAAACGGAATTTTGAAGTCAGCACTCGGCTCCAACCACTCTTTAACTACAATCAATCATCCACTGCCTAGAACAACAAAGGACACWATCGATGATTTAAGAAGGTAATTTMTAACTATTTTCTTTTGGAAGCTAGTTCTTTAGAATTGAACGACTAGTGAGGCTTTTTTTTAAGTCAATGACAATCTAAATTTTATTTTCTCTAATAGACCTCTGAAGCTTTTACATCAATTACCGTATACGCAATGCATTGTAGGATATGTTTTGGACAAAACATGGCGGATTTCTTTTGATCCCACAATGCATTGCAAATAAATTAAGTAGTGATGTAAAAGCTTTATTTGGATCACCATTTTTGGTTTGGTTTATCGAAAATCCTGCAGATATTCATTAGAAGAAAAAAAAGAAAAAAAAAAGACCTTTGCTCCTGGGGAGGCTCGAACTCCCGACCTTCGCATTTCTCGTGTAAGGCACCCTCGTTCGCGCCAACACTGCTTATAAGTACGACGCGCTAACCGACTGTGCCACAGGAGCTAGTTGTGATATACAGTTGATAATATAGCTAGGGTTACGTACATGTACAAAGGAATTAAAATTCTGTTTCCCGAGGTTTTAAGCTATCGGCACCACTAAAGCTCAGCCTTCATTTTTTTCAGTTAAAACGCCGTAATTCACGTATATTTAATCAAAACGGCAGCCATCTTGAATTTATTTTCTTCTATCGTTATTTTCAGAAATGGACTTGGTTTTATGCTATCTTTCAACATCTTGTTTGGTATGGCGTTCTTGGCGTCGAGTTTTGTGGTGTTTCTGGTGCAAGAGCGGTCTAACAAAGCAAAACATGTTCAGTTTGTCAGNAAAAAAAAGACCTTTGCTCCTGGGGAGGCTCGAACTCCCGACCTTCGCATTTCTCGTGTAAGGCACCCTCGTTCGCGCCAACACTGCTTATAAGTACGACGCGCTAACCGACTGTGCCACAGGAGCTAGTTGTGATATACAGTTGATAATATAGCTAGGSTTACGTACATGTACAARGGAATTAAAATTCTGTTTCCCGAGGTTTTAAKCTATCGGCACCACTAAAGSTCAGCCTTCATTTTTTTCAGTTAAAACGCCGTAATTCACGTATATTTAATMAAAACGGCAGCCATCTTGAATTTATTTTSTTCTATCGTTATTTTCAGAAATGGACTTGGTTTTATGCTATCTTTCAACATCTTGTTTGGTATGGCGTTCTTGGCGTCGAGTTTTGTGGTGTTTCTGGTGCAAGAGCGGTCTAACAAAGCAAAACATGTTCAGTTTGTCAGCGGTGTTGACCCACTRAGCTACTGGACCTCGGCGTACGCTTGGGACCTTATTAACTTTATTTTCCCTGCTGTKTCGTTGATTATTCTGCTTGCTGCCTTTGAAGTGCCTGCATACAGCGGTAAGTTCAGCCTTAAGTTCGTGGCCAAGCAATGATACTTGCTAGATGCATCGTGGGATTGACGAAAGTACAAACAGAGCCATGTTGTTCTTCCTTGGACATCCTTTTTTTCGAACAATAAGTATTAGTTCTTTCACAGAGTATGTATTTTACTCTAAAGTCCGCCATCTTGATGATTTCATCAATACCATGATGCACCTCGCGAAAACACACATGACGTCATTAGGATGATAATTTCTCGACAAACCTGAAAATTAAGATGACATTTAGGTCAAATGGGAGGAGGCTCAATATCTCTATTACGGACCTTCAATACAAAATGGCCATGGAAATACAAGATTTGAAACCCAAAAAATAGCAATAATAACCGATTGATGTAATAAGGAGAAATGTTGTCATAATAGGCGATGTGCAGCGACGCCATTTTGTACAATAAAGCCGGCATAATGGGAGTTGTAGCTCTCGTACTTTTCATATAGGCAAAAAACCTTTCCCTAAAAGCCGTATTTATATTTGCTTTCCAAGAGCGGTGTAAAAGTATTTCTGCAGTGAACAAGCAGAAACGGCTTATAAGGATTACTTAAATGGACACGAAAAATTACGAGGACTTTAACTCCCATCATGCTTTGTTGCACAAAATGGCGTCGCTGCACATTGCCTACTAATCGACTTCCTTGTGTAACTTTCGGTCATGAAATCTCGGAATTCTTCCACAATTTTTATATATTTATATATATAGCTATTTCAAAAAAGGTTGTCGGATAAAATGGCGAATATCAATGGTCGAACGTCGATTGCACGACCGAAAGTAGCCATGGGTTTTGCTAGTTAAAAGGCAATAACAACTGATTTGTACTGTAAGACGGTCTGTGGTAAACATTGGCTCCATTTCGTCTCCATTTCAATGTAATGTGAATCCCAAAAGTGAGATTTTGTTTATCAAAACAGTGTAACTATAGTCCCTTTCGATCGTGCAATCTCACTTCGACAATCACCGTTCGACGTTCTCCCCGACAACGTTTTTYGAAATAGCTGTATTTTYCATCACAAATATCCGTTTCTGTTTTGTAGGTAAGAACCTCGGTTATGCATTCTTGTTATTGATGATTTACGGCTGGGCTATTATTCCTGTTATGTACTTGTTCTCGTTCTTGTTCACCACCGCTGCGACAGCTTTTGTTATCTTAACGACATTCAACATCATTACCGGCCTGGCAACACTCATGACAGGTACGTACGACATTTTCTAAAATACAATATCATGGTGCATTGTGGTCTAGATTAGTACAAACAATGCCATATTTGGCCGCATGGACAAAAGATGTTTGCACCGCCTAGACCACAATCCAATACAAACTACTATCCCAGAAAAAGCAAAAATAAAGTGGCTAGGTTCCCGGCTGTGTATACTACAGCATATATGGACACCATCTTGAATTACCTTATAACATGATAATTACGTTATTTCGGGGAAGATTTGCTAAAGCAACTCAAATTTGGACTGAATATTTCTTTCTTTAGATTTCAGTCAATGTTTTGCATKTATGATATTGTCTTATAGTTGCTTTGATAAAATGACGTCAAAGAAGGCTTCACTTGATATACAAACTTTGAAGGAGTCGCTTAAAAATGGTTTTATGACGTTAAATTTATCGTACGGAATAACCATATTCCCAGATGGCGTTCATCAAAACATTTTTGAGCGACTGTTCAAAGTTCGTAATCTAATGAAGCCTCCATGGTCATGTGACGTCCCGAGAATCAGCAATCATTGTGTCAGRCGTCATAGGCAATTTAACCATCAGCTTTCTTTGAAGCAGATKTACACGGAAAACGTACTCTCGTTTCATTGGGTTATCATATAAGAGTAATCAAACGATATTATGTTATATTTTTATCACAGTTTTTATTCTRAGTATCCCTGAACTGGAACTACTGGACGTTGCTAATGTTCTTAAATGGGTGTTTTTGGTGCTGCCKAACTACTGCCTTGGTCAAGGACTAGGTGATATCTTCAATAATTACAGTACGCTGTACTACTTTAATAAAGCGGTGGACTTTTGCATGAAGGAACTTCCTTTCGAAACGAGGTCTTCTTGTGAGGACATAGTGAAGCAAATGGCAGGTTTGTAGAGATATTTTGCTCTGTTTCGTTTCGTTTTTTTTTTTTTGTTTCGTTTCGTGTCTTTTACTTTTCCAGTGCTATTTTTTGCGCTTGTCTTTGTTTTGGTCGTTTACTCTACCATTTGCTCGTTCGTTTTCGCCTATTCGTATTTTCATTATTTTTTATTTATTTTTCACACGTACGTTTTTGTTTCGTTTGTTCGTTGTAATATTTTTCCTTCTCTTAATTTTAGTTTGTTCGCGTACATTTTTTCTTGTTTGCTCATCATTTTAATTTTTTGTTTTCCTTCATCTAATTTTTCATCTCGTCCTTCGCTTTTTCTTTCAATTGTTCGTTCGCGTATGCATTCTTTTGTTTTTCTTTTGTTCGCTAAATTATTTGTTAATTGTTTATCGTTTTCAACCTTCTCATGCAATGATATTCGCTTTCCAGGAACACAAGGCGACGTGCTGGAATTCCAGGAAAACTATCTGGCCTGGGACAATCCAGGAATCGGACGTTATCTGATTTTCATGGCCTGGGAAGGACTTTTCTTCTTCTGCATTGTACTCTTCATCGAATTCGGTTTCTTTCGACGTTTTGTGTTATGGTTGAAGAGCTGTTCGTTGACCCCAARAACCCTGAATTATGGTGAACCAAGTGGCTCAATGACCGAACTTGATGACGATGTTTACGAAGAGAAGAGACGTATTGCTACTAGCAYACACGACCAGGATGTCCTCGTCATTCGAGAACTGACCAAGGTTTTCCCTGGAMGAAGAGGTAGACCATTATGTAAAGTGACCTATATATTTACCTAATAATTTACCTAATGCCTCAGTCATCTGAAAGCATGCTTCCTGAAAACACCGGATAATCAATGGTTAGGAAATTAAGATTTCGACGATGCGAAAGTCGTGGGTATTGCGCATGCCCTTCTCTTTATATAGAAAAAATTGGATGTTGTACAGAAATGGTTCTTTCATCTGCGAACGACGATTTTGATTCCCGATCCTTTTGCCTATTGTGATCCTTTGGCTGTTGTAATCCCGATTCCTAAAATATTAATCCTGATTCAAATTCTAAAACTCTGATTTCTGACCTAAACAAATGACGAAAATGTGATCCCTGAGCTCCAAAATAACGGCGGTGATCCTTGATCCCATACACTTACTACCCTAACTACCCTGTAATGAAGAAATACGTCACAAGTCTTACAGAAATAAGCACACTCCATTATTTGACATTTTTTCATCGTATTAGCAKTTTTGTKTTAAGTCCTGTAGAGAATCGACCAGACRGAARAATTGTTGTTAGTTCTAAAAAAAATGACATCACCATCGTAAACCCATGATTCCCTGCATTGTATAACTGCCCTACCGCGCAAGCCTTSACATTGCGAGTTTTCTTGAAGGTCGTGGTCCACTTCTTGCTGTTGATAGCCTATCATTAGGCATACCTATGGGCGAATGCTTTGGGYTGCTTGGTGTCAACGGCGCCGGTAAAACAACCACGTTTAGAATGCTGACTGGTGACGAAATAATGACGTCAGGAACCGCTACTGTCGACGCGTTTGATATACGTTCCAATATGAGACAGGTATAATATAACACGCRCGCTGATTGGCTGATTACCGTACCGACATGTGACAGTTKGTTTCAGTGTTAGAACATGCTCGCTGATTGATTGATTCCCGTCCTAACATGAGATGGGTGGGTTGTATAATATAACACGCACACTGATTGGCTGATTACCGTACCGACATGTGACAGTTGGTTTGAATGGTAGGACTTGCACGCTGATTGGTTGATTACCGTTCTAACACGAGATGGGTGGGTTGTATTATATAACACGCACCCGGATTGGTTGATTAACATTCTAAATTGAGTTTAAGACATGCGTGGTGCGTGCGTGTGTTCGTCTTTCATTCATTCATTGAAATCTCTTCAGGTTCGACAGCGTATTGGCTACTGCCCTCAGTTYGATGCCCTGATTGGTCAYATGACTGTACGTGAAATGCTGTACATGTTCGCTCGTTTGAGAGGGGTTCCTGAGAGTGACATAAAACAGACTGTCAATAATCTTATAAGATCATTATTACTATCCAATCATGCTGATAAACTTACCAAGTCACTTAGGTATGTACAATATGCAGCGGAATGGCATTTAATGGTTTTCTTTCTATGACATTTCAATGGCTTCCTTGCAATGGAATGACATTGAAGTTGGTTTCTCTCAACGGAATTGCATTTAATGGGTTTCTTCCAACATAATAGCGTTTAAATTGCTTTAAATGATAACATTTAATATTACTGCAACGGATTGGCATTTAATGGTTTTATTTCTACAGAATGACATTTGAATGTTTTTTTTAGAAACGGGGTATTATTTAATTGGTCTCCTTTCAATGGAATGGAATATTTCAATGAGTTTTTTTTACGACGAAACGAAACTTTGAATGATATTCGACAAATAGAATCCATTTTTCCGTGCATTTGTTTTCTAATAGATGGCTTCAAAATGTGATGAGAACAAAAAGAGTACGCCATGAGATCAATTTCACCGAAACGTAATAAGGCAACAAAGCATGCGCACTGGTTCTGACCAATCAGAGCGTGCGTAAGATTAAGGGACATCATCTGTCCATGATATGTGTTCTTTAATCATTAACAAGATTCTCGACCAATCTAAGAGCGCATAATGTACCAAATATTATATTTAAGGAATAAAAGACGAAATTCCGTGTTTGATACTCTGGTCAAAATACGCGGGATGTAGGGAGAGCACGAGACATAGGCTACCCAACTATTGCTTGAGAGAAAGAAAAGAATGAATGCGCACGCTTTTATATTATGTTATCGAATCGGCGTGCGCTGTGGGTTACCTGTGGTATTACGTCACTATCGCGCGCCTCGCGGGATACAAACTAGTCTGTGACACACAAGCAATAGTTGGGTAGCCTATGGACGCGCGAGCGTGTTTTGATACTGTAATCAAACATGGTTTTCGACCAATCACAGCGCGCGTAGTATCCTAAATATTTTAGAAAAAATTATATAGAATGATATAGTGATGCAGCTGTTGTTTTATTTTCAGTGGTGGGAACAAGCGCAAGCTCAGTACAGCCATTTCACTTGTGGGAGAACCTCCTGTAGTCTTTCTAGATGAACCAACCACTGGGATGGACCCTGTTGCTAAGAGATTGCTGTGGAACGCATTGTGCCGTGTTCGTGCTGACGGCAGGTGTATTGTCATAACCTCACACAGGTATCAGCTATTATCATAATCACTATCATTAACATTATCACTATCATTAACATTATCACTATCATTAACATTATCGCTATCATTAACATTATCGCTATCATTATCACATAGCATTATCTTGTCTATGCTCAGATGCCTAGATAAATACCGTATTTACCCATGTATAAGCCGCACTTTTTTTCCAAAAAAATCGTTCCCATTTCGGGGGTGCGGCTTATCTACGAGAAGACTCGTAAAAATRCCCGATAAAAACTATAATTTGCATAAATTAGCATTCACGGTGCTACTTACTGCAGACAGGACGGCGAGAACAGAAATTTTAATCCAAACTTCTCAGTATTACTATAAATTCTCCGAAAATCTAGCCYTGAGAAACACCAGTCAATAATTCACTRAAAMGTGCGTGGTTATTGAGCCAATGATMATGGACAGAGAGCATTTTGAATCGTTTTGTCTTGGAGTTGTTGTGGTAACGCGATGCTAATTTGGATCACGGAWATCGAGCAGCGGAAAAGCACTTTAAAATCAAAGAAAGCTGTGTTCGCAAGTGGCGATCAAAAAGAGAAAAGTTTATTTTCTGTCTTTTTTCCCCTCAAAAACSYYCCTAAAACTCGGGGTACGAGAGCGGCTTATACATGGGTAAATACGGTAGTTTATTTGTAAAACATCGCAGCGTACAGAAAAAAAAACATTTCTTTCCCTTTCTTTCATTCATTTAAATCCCACTTTTTATAGTATGGAAGAATGYGATGCCCTTTGCACAAGAATTGCAATAATGGTCAATGGCCGACTGAAGTGTCTAGGAAGTCCACAGCACCTCAAGACTAAGTTTGGWGAAGGCTACACCTTAATCGCAAAAGTTGGTGGAATAGACACAACGCAGCTGAAAGAATATATCGAAGAAACGTTTCCTGGAAGTGTTCTTAAAGACGAGCATTTAGGAATGGTTCATTACCACATAACAGACACAAGTGTGTCATGGGCTCAGATATTTGGTGCCGTGGAGAGGATTAAAATGGATTATAACATAGAGGACTATAACATCAGTCAAACAACTCTTGACCAAGTGTTTTTGAACTTTGCAAGGGGACAAAGAATTGAGGATGATTAGTTAGAAAGAAGATTGCTATAACATTACTTAATCAATAAGGGATGGATTGCCAT